AACAGTGAAGTTGAATTGATTTACTCATAATGGATAACTGAATTCGGAACATCATGCAGAATTTGCGAAACTTATTCTTTTATTGTTGCAGACCATGTGCCCGGTTTGTCTGGATCGTCTGAAAAACATGATCTTCCTGTGCGGACACGGCACCTGCCAAATGTGCGGCGATCGGATGTCGGAGTGTCCAATATGTCGCAAGGCAGTAGACAAACGTATTCTGCTCTATTAAAAATAAAAGACTATTACAGACTGCATTGCGCACTGAAATTTTCTAAGGGCGGTTGTACGTGATTGTATGACGAATTATAATCCACAAGAATCCACGATATTTCACGAGACGAGATTTCCTCTTACGCCTCGTTTACTTCTAATAAGCATTACGTCAAGCTGAATCGCAGAGCAACGTTGTTTATCATGAAATAAAAAAAATCATGATATTAAATGATATAACAATGAAAAATAATGAAGATATTAAATGGTGCACTTCGAGCTACGATGGTTTATAGATAAAAATATAAGTTGATTGATAGGTAAATAACTGCGACAAGTGTAGGTACGCACAATTATTATTTATTGTTCATATTTTTAATAAAAAAACCTCGTTGCATGATAGATGATATATTATGCTGTTGAAGTTGCGTTTCATGCGTAGTCGTACGGCTATTAACATACAAGTGTAACATATTTCTAGTAAGCTTCCTACAAAAAATCTTTATTTACCACTTATGAATAACACTGTTTATCTGCATGATTAAAAATTCAGAAAACGCTCAGTAGACATTACAAAGTTCTTCCGAATCTATCAATAGGAATCTATCAATATCTATCAATAGGAATGATAGTTTTATATCCATTTTAAATAATTTCCACATAGTTTGCCAAAATTAATAGTAAGTAAAATATTACGTTTCAACCATTTGATATTTTTCAAAGGATTAAAATAAAATTGTAAGATTCCATGATTTATCGTTGTTAATCAGATATCATGATATCTGCTAATATATGTGATGTTATTTACATGTTACATAAATTGGTAAAAATATGTTCGATACAATACATTCGCGGATCTATATCGGTAAAATAATGAAGCTATTTTCATTTTTTTCAACTTAAAAATTAATATATTAATTATTATTTTCTCGAACGTAATAATTATATTAATTGACATAAAATTTATATTAGTTATATTTCTCAAATTTTAATATTTTAAAATTAAATGGTTTTTAATGTAAATTTTATATCAATTTTGAAGTTGT